CAGCAAAGGGGACGTCACTCTTGATCTCTTCTATGTTATCAGTGGAGACGCTCTTATCAGATAGTGAGGCAGACACAGAGGACAGGGAACAAGACGAGCCTCCAGCCTCCACCGCCAACACCTCCTCCGGTTCTGTTTCCGTCTCTATGTCCCTCGATGGCCGCTTCTCCTGCTGGGACAACACCACAAACCCTTCATAAATATCTCTTTGTGTTACACCTCCTTCACCCACTCCTACTGTACTTACCTTTCTAATTTACTCATTGATCGACTGTAGTTATAATTTGTGTGTGTAATTGTGTATGTATATCTTGTTCACACACACACACACACACACACACACACACACACACACACACACACACACACACACACACACACACACACACACACACACACACACACACACACACACACACACACACACACACACACACACACACTACAGGAGGCAGGTAGCTCCCCACAGTCCACCACACCTATGTCTGACTCACACCTTTCTCAGTTCAGCACAGCGCCTCAACCATAACATGATATAATTCAACATTTTTACTCGACTCATATCAGTGGTTATATGTTGGCATGATGGTGCTTGCGTGTGTGCGTGCGGTGGGTGTGTGTGTGTGTGTGTGCAGTGCGGTGGTGGGTGGGTGTGTGCGTGCGGTGGTGTGTGTGCGTGCGGTGGTGTGGTGTGGTGTGCTGTGGTGGGTGTGTGCGTGCAGCAGTGGGTGTGTGCAAGTGCGTGCATTGGGTATATAATAATAATAACAATAATGTCAATAATTTGTAGTTTACTGAAAGAACACGGCGCTGTGTGTGTGTTTGTGTGTGTATAAAGAACACTTAAAAACTTTGTTAAATAAATTAGCTAAAGTTAACAAAATAAGGTTTAATTACCCCCAAAATTAATAAAATAAGGTTAAATATCATCCAAATAGTTAATGATCCGGTAACATAACATTAACCTCTACTTACAACACTACAGTAAGCAACATACACCAGGGAACAGCGAGCTACAGAAGTTGCCTGAGTAATACACTATAACATCACTGGGTATTAACACGGGCACAGGTATACGTAAATATACAATTATTAGGTTACCATACACGTAAATACAACAGGATGATAACTACAACCACTATCATACACGTAAATACAACACAATAACTACAACCCCATTACGTATCATTATTTACAACAGTTGTGAATGATACTCTTACCGTTACCTGTTATATAAAGGTAAACAACAGATATATATATGGGTGAGTTAGTGTATTATAATGAGTTCCTTTACGTGTTACCGTTTGAAGCTTCGAACTGGTGGAACGAGTCTGGTGTGGTTGAATGCTTCAGATGATGATGGAGAAGGAGGGGTAAATGGGAAGGAGGGAGTAGAAGAGGAGTAAAGAGGTAAAAGAAAGAAAGGAGGGGGAGGAGGTAAGAAGAGGAGTAAACAGGAATAAAAAGGAAGAGGAGGAGGTGGCAAGTCTCATACAAACAGCCATTAAGACCTGCCCCCACCCCCGGATGTGGCACTCAGGGCTCCCACGTGTTACCCAGTGCCTAAAAACAGGCCCAAGGTTACTAGGCGTGTCTTCAGGAGAGCACCACCACACACTCATGTCTAGTACCACACCACACACTCATGTCACCACACACACACACCCATGTCCTAGTACACACCACCACACACCCATGTCCTAGTACCACACCACCACACACTCATGTCATATGCCACACACACTCCATGTCCTAGTACCCACACCACCACACACACCCATGTCCTAGTACCACCACCACACACACCCATGTCTAGTACACACCATGTCCTAGTACCACCACACCGTACCACACACACATGTCACCACTCAGTAGATTGGGAGGGAGGAGTAGGTGACGGAGGAGGGAGTGGGTGACCGAGGAGAGAGAGGGGGGGAGGGGGTGGCGGTAAAATGAGTGTCGCGTTAGTGTCATACAGGAAACACAATTGGCAGGGACTGAAGTTGACAATACTACGTGGTCCTAATCCGCGTTCCGGCACCAGTGGGGGAGAGGAGGGAGAGAGGGGGGTGGGGAAGTGTACAAGTGTTAGTGGGGTTTATGTGTGAGGAAGGGAGGGGGTAGTGGTGAGAGAAGAGGGAGGGTTAAAGACAGGGAGGAGATACCATGTTTCCCTTTCCTCCTTCTTCTCCACCGTCTCTCCCCTTTCCTTTTCTCCTCCGTTCCTCCCTTCCTTCCTCCTATCCCTCCCTTTCCATTCCTCATTTCCTCCTTCCTTCCTCCATCCCTCCTCTGACCCTCCTCCCATCAAAGGGTTCTCAAGAATGTTTTAAGATTCCCCTTCTTGGATGCTAACCTCTCTCTCTCTCTCTCTCTCTCTCTCTCTCTCTCTCTCTCTCTCTCTCTCTCTCTCTCTCTCTCTCTCTCTCTCTCTCTCTCTCTCTCTCTCTCTCTCTCTCTCTCTCTCTCTCTCTCTCTCTCTCTCTCTCTCTCTCTCTCTCTCTCTCTCTCTCTCTCTCTCTCTCTCTCTCTCTCTCTCTCTCTCTCTCTCTCTCTCTCTCTCTCTCTCTCCTCTCTCTCTCTCTCTCTCTCTCTCTCTCTCTCTCTCTCTCTCTCTCTCTCTCTCTCTCTCTCTCTCTCTCTCTCTCTCTCTCTCTCTCTCTCTCTCTCTCTCTCTCTCTCTCTCTCTCTCTCTCTCTCTCTCTCTCTCTCTCTCTCTCTCTCTCTCTCTCTCTCTCTCTCTCTCTCTCTCTCTCTCTCTCTCTCTCTCTCTCTCTCTCTCTCTCTCTCTCTCTCTCTCTCTCTCTCTCTCTCTCTCTCTCTCTCTCTCTCTCTCTCTCTCTCTCTCTCTCTCTCTCCTCTCTCTCTCTCTCTCTCTCTCTCTCTCTCTCACACACACACACACACACACAAATAGACCCACTCCTTACCCCACGCACACAATTATCTTACTCAATAAATCAATTAACCCTCACACCCACTCAACCCACCCTCCAACCCCACACAGAGCCAGTCAGTCAACAAACAATCCTTCACCCACCACCTCCTCATTTCCGGAACTGGTCCTCGTACAAGTGTTAGCTAAAGGTGCTGGAGGTATGACTTGAGACACACCCAGTGATACCAACAATGACGCAATACCACGATGGCTAGTCTGAGTCGCCCCTCCCTGTCTTCCCCTTTCCTTCTCCTCCTCCTCCTCTCCTTCCCCTTTGGTTATATTTATCATTATCCCCGTGTTCAAGAAAGAAAGAAACGCGAGGACCTACACAGGAGAGGAGAGTGAACGGAAGGAATAAAAAGAACGGCATATGGGAGAACGAAAGAACACAGAAGAACAGGTAGACGGAAGACCACACCAGGTAGACGGAAGAACACACCAGGTAGACGGAAGAACACCAGGTAGACGGAAGAACACACCAGGTAGACGGAAGAACACACCAGGTGAGCGGAAGAACACACCAGGTAGACGGAAGAACACACCCAGGTAAACGGAAAGAACAACCATTAAGGGGTATAGTCACAGGACACACAGTGTCGGCCATGAAGGAGTTATCGACGGTGATTATTATGCAGAATAATTAAGCCATCTGAGTCACACCTGTACACACGTCCTTAATTAAGTACGTATATACCTGCCCACGCGCCGCCACGCAAGACAGACGGACGGACGGACGGACAAAAGACGCATTATGAAACCGTAGCAATTACAGTATGTAGTTAGCTGTGGTGTAGCAATGTAGTGTAATGTAGTATAGTGTGTAATGGTATGTGGTATCCGTAGTGTATTGAATGGTATGTAGTTTAGTGTGTGTAATGGTATGTGTGGTATCCGTAGTGTAGTATTGAATGGTATGTGTAGTTTAGTGTGTAATGGTATGTGTGGTATCCGTAGTGTAGTATTGAATGGTATGTAGTTTAGTGTGTAATGGTATGTGTGGTATCCGTAGTGTAGTATTGAATGGTATGTAGTTTAGTGTGTAATGGTATGTGGTATCCGTCAGTGTAGTATTGAATGGTATGTGTAGTTTAATTAATCTTGTAGTATGTGTGGTATCATGTAATGTAGTATTGAATGGTATGTGGTTTAGTGTGTAATGGTATGTGTGGTATCCGTAGTGTAGTATTGAATGGTATGTGTAGTTTAGTGTCTTGTGGTATGTGTGTGTGGTATCAGTGGGCATCCCAGGAAGCTAGCCGACTGATAGTGAGGCAGCCGCACATAAGCAAGCAACAAGCAAGCAAGCAAGCAAACCACACACACACACACACACACACACACACACACACAGGAGAATACACCATTGTAGGCAGTGAGCAGGGAGCGTCAAGAACCCACCTTGTGAGACCACCATCACTGCCTCCATCCCAACCTTCCCTCACCACAACCACCTTCTGTCTTCCTCCCTACTCCTCCTCACACATCTGCTTCCTCCTCCTCCTCCTCCACACACCTCCTGTCTTCCTCCCTCCTCACACACCTCCCTGTCTTCCTCCTCCTCCCCACACACCTCCTGTCTTCCTCCTCCTCCTCCTCCTCCCCACACCAATCACCCTTCATTAATTCACAACCTGACGTCTTCCTGTTCCAAGCCTAGACCCCCCTCCCCCTTCTGGATAAGCCTCCAGCGCATTACATGATTGGTTTAGCCTCAAGGATAATCTGGTCCAATCCTAGGTGTGGCTTAAGCCCAATCCTTCCAATTGAAAACTGAAATTGAATCAGTTTTTAAGCCAGAGATAGTGTAGGTACAAAGTGAGCAATGATAATACAGTATTGACGTGGCTAACCTTTCGTCTGTACCTAACCCAACCTCCTAACCTAACCTCTTAATCTAACTAACCTAACCTAACTAACTACCAAACCTACCAAACCAAAACTAATTTAACCTCACAAAACCTAACTTAACCTACTACTACCACTTACTCCTACTACTACTACCACCAACACTACTACCACTACTCCTTCCTACTACCAACAGACCACAGGTAACGAACCAACCACCCGCTTACAACACCTGAGGCTTAAAAAGGTTGGCCGGGAGGGGGGAAAATAAGACAGGCGATAGGAAGGAAGATTGAATCCTGTGTGACGAGGAAAAAGGGTGGGGGAGATGGGGGAGGGAGGGAGGTGAGAGATGAGGAGGGAGGGGAGAGGGTGAGGAGATGAGGAGGGGGAGGAGGTGAGGAGATGAAGAGAGGAAGAATTGAGGAGATGAGAGGGAGGAGAGGTGAGGAGGTGGGGGAGATGGGGAGGAGGAGGGTGGGGAGGGGGAGGAGGTGGAGGGAGGTGAGGGAGATGGGGAGGGGGAGGAGGGTGAGGGAGGGTGGGGAGATGGGAGGGGGAGGAGGTGAGGGAGGGTGAGGGGAAGTGGGGAGGGAGGAGGTGAGGAGGTGAGGGAGATGGGGAGGAGGGAGGTGAGGAGATGGGGGTAAGGGTTTGAGGAGGAGAGAAGGAGAAAGGTGAGATGGGAGGAAGAGGGTGAGAGGATGAGGGTGAGGGAGGATGAGGGTGAGGGAGATCAGGGGAGGAGGTGAGGGAGGTGAGGGAGATGGGAGGGAGGAGGGTGAGGCGAGAGATGGGGGGTGAAGTAGGGTTTGAGGAGATGAAGAGGGAGAAAGGTGAGGGAGATGGGGAGGAGAGGAAGAGGGGTGAGGGATGAGGGGTGAGGGAGGGATGAGGGTGAGGGAGGATGAGGGGTGAGGAGAGCAGAGGGGGGAGGGGTGAGGAGGTGAGGAGATGGGGAGGAGGAGGGAGAGGGAGGTGAGGGAGAGGGGAGGGGAAGGAGGGTGAGGAGGTGAGGAGATGAGGGAGGGAGGAGGTGAGGAGATGGGGTGAAGGAGGGGTTTGAGGGAGATGAAGGAGGGTGAGGAGATGGAGACGAAGAGGTGAGGAGGATGAGAGAGTGAGGGAGAGAGATAGAGGTGAGGGAGATGGAAAGAGCCACAAGAACATCACCCATCACCTAACGACTCTTTAACTAGACACCTTAACATTAAAACACAGAATAAAATTAAGGAAGATAATGAAAAAACAATGATGCCTATATCAAACCAGTGTGTGTGTGCAAAACGTGTGTATATTCTAGATGAAACACATTTAAACAAGATCAAAAAACGTAACGTCAATTCTTGCTTCTTCACTAACGGGAATATTTAACATTAAGACTCTTGTGAATCAGCGAATCGCCTCAAGACACGCAGACAAGAGACAAGAGACAGACGGTAAATAACACTGTAAGAGTGCCATAATGAGTAGGGTTACTGGTGTTCGTGGCACTGGGTGCGTTAAGGCCACCCACGACCACTCGTCCCAGCCCAAGGTCACAAAAAGAACTATATTACACTCTCACGCCAAGAACACTGGGGGAATTGAAAGGAGGAAGAGATGTGGTGGGGAGAAGGGCATGGATGGGGAGGAAGAGGATGAGACACGCAATGGGAGGGGAGGAAGTGAGTGGGGGGAGAAGGAAGCAAAGGAGAGAATGAGTGGCAATACGTGGCA